GTGTGTAAATGGAGATACTTTGTTCTTTCTTGTTTTGTTGCAATGGAGATAGCATAAAGATTCCTGCGTCTGATATGTTTAGTCCTGAGTGTGTTTGAGTAAATGATGACGAGATCCGAAAAGCATCATCGATAAACTAAGCTTCAAAACTTGTGGGGTTACTTGCTGAAATGCTGATGCGTCGATGAGCATGAATATTGTAGTGTGCCATAGTATTTTGCAGATAGAAAGATTTGAGAGAATGTTGGAAGATCCGGTTTATATATTGGTTTGCGACACGGTTTAGACTCGATTGAAACTCGGTTAAAGAAAAGATCCTCAAATTTATTCGGTTAAAGAAGTGTGGCTTTTGGTTAAAACACTTTTACAAGAGCGAAAACAAATATTAATAATTTAATCATTACAAAGCCCATTTATAAATATATTAAAAAAAAGCCCAAAAAGTCATTTGTGTTCATTTGTTTCTAGAAAAGTCTGATCAATTTTAATCAGAATTAAAATGGGTCAAAAATGTGGAGCTTATTAATACACAGAGACCCAGAAGGATCTGGAATCATCTTTCCTTCTACATTTTTTCTCTAATTTCTCACGACAATTCTCCTCCTTTCGTATATAAACAACCTTTGTAAACAAAAAACCCTTTTTTTTTCTTCTCTTAGAAAACTCAGAATTTCTAACGATTAAATCTGCTGTTGAAGAAGAAGACTAAAAAAGGTTCTTAATTTCTGATATTTATATTGTTTTGCGAGTTGGGTTTTGTTCGTATTTTTGGGGGTTTCGCTGATTTAGGGTTATAAAATGGATTCGTGTACGAATGATTTGTTGAATCGATGACTTTGGTTCCTTGAAAAATTTCGTCTTTTTTTTTTTTTCGGTTTTTTGATAAATGTTCTAAGATTATGATTGATGATTTTAAAAGCCCCTTTTTCTACTACTCAGAAATTTCGATGTCAAAATCGAAACTGATTTTCTAGGGTTTTGTATGTGAGATTGTTTTGGTTAATAAAGTTTTGAGTTTTTATTTAGGTCAATGGAAGAAGAAGCAATAGCAACTAGGTATTGGTGTCACATGTGTTCTCAAACTGTGAATCCAGTTATGGAAGCTGAGATCAAATGTCCCTTTTGTCGAAGTGGGTTTGTTGAAGAAATGC